ACTCTGATGTATAAATATGTACCATTAGGTTTTACAATAGCTTGATCCCTAAGAAACTAAGATAATAAGGGTACAATCGACAATATACAAACTAAATACTAATTACATCAACACCCCCCCTCAAGTTGGAGCATGAGGATTCCGAATGCCCAACTTGCCAAGGAAAAAGTCGAACTCGCGCTTGCCAAGTGCCTTTGTAAAAGGATCAGCCAACTGGGACCGAGTGTTAACATAAGAAGCCGAAACAAGGCCTTGAACAAGGGCATCACGAACAAAATGACAATCCACCTCAATGTGTTTAGTCCGTTCATGAAAAACGGGATTAGCGGCAATATGCAAGGCCGCCTGACTATCACAATAGAGACGCATGGGCTGCGAATGGGGCACACCAAGGCTGTGCAGCAATCCTTTCAACCATTTAAGCTCACAAATAACAGTAGCCATAGCCCGATACTCAGCCTCCGCAGAAGAGCGCGCCACAGTGGGCTGTTTCTTGGTACGCCAAGAAATCGGAGACTGGCCCAACTGAACAAACCAGCCACTAAGAGAGCGTGAGTAAGGAGACATGCAGCCCAGTCAGAATCACACCACCCAGAGAGTTGAAGATCAGAGTCAGAACGAAGCAGAATACCCTGCCCAGGGGATCCCTTCAGGTATCGAACAACTCGTAGCGCAGCTTCCCAATGTGCTCGCCTAGGCTGATGCATAAACTGAGCAAGAACATGCATCGAGTAAGACAGCTCAGGACGTGTAACAGCCAAATAAATCAGACGACCGACCAGGCGCCGATATGCCCTGAGTCTTCGAAGAAGGGACTAGCATCGTCAAGGATACGATGATTCTGTTCCAGCGGAAACTCCACCGGCTTAGCTCCCAACAAACCAACCTCGGAGATGATGTCCAAAGCATATTTCCGCTGGCACAAGAAGATGCCAGAGGTGTTGCGAGCCACCTCAATACCCAAAAAATACTTTAAGGAACCCAAATCCTTCATGTGGAAGCAGCGACTCAAGTAACTCTTAAAGGCTCCAATGGACACAGGATCATTGCCAGAAACGATAAGGTCATCAACATACACCAAGACCTGCAGGTGAACAGACCCACGACGCAAGGTAAATAAAGAGTAGTCAGAGTGGGACTGAGAAAAACCATATTGACAGAGAGAAGTAGCCAGCTTCGCAAACCAGCACCGAGGAGCCTGCTTCAATCCATAGAGAGAGCGACGCAAACGACATATACGCCCAGCATCACTAGTCCGAAAACCAGGAGGAAGCTTCATGTAGACCTCCTCATCCAAGTCACCATGAAGAAAGGCATTGTGGACATCCATTTGATGGACCTTCCACTGACGAGCGGAAGCAACAGCTAAGAAAGTCCGTACTGTCACCATTTTAGCAAAAGGGGCAAAAGTCTCATGATAATCAATCCCTTCCACTTGATTGTTACCTAGAACCACCAGTCGCGCTTTATAGCGCTCAACAGCTCCATCCGAACGATAATTGATCTTGTAAATCCACTTACAACCGATAGCACGCTTCTCGGGAGGAAGAGAAACCACCTCCCAAGTCCCATTATTCTTGAGAGCCTGGATTTCATTCTGCATCGCTACGCGCCATTGACTATCAGTGGCGGCCTCAGCAAACATACGAGGCTCGACAGTAGAAGCTAGAGCTGCCAAAAAAGACTTGTGGACCGATGAGAAATTATCACAACTCACATAATGTGCGATAGGATTAGGCGTACCTGAAGAAGGTGAGGAAGCAGGCAGAGCAATAGAGGGACTAGGGGGACAGATAGTGGCAGTAACAAAATCACAAAGGCGACTCGAGGGAAAACGGGTGCGATGACCACGACCCAACGCACTGTCTGGCGCAGTAGGGACCGAAGGACCCCCCTGTCATTGGAAGGGTCAGAAGGAACTACAATCGAGTGATCATCACGGGATGGCGGAGCAGTCACAGGCGCAGGCGGGACTACAATCGAGTGATCATCATCCGAAGTCGACGCAGGAGGCCAAGTCACAACAGGAGGGACCGAAGTGGGTGAAGAGACCGGAGGAGACTCCTCATAAGGAAAAACAGTCTCAACGAAGTCAATGTCACGAGATACTAATAAGACTTGTCGATCCAAATCATAGACGCGCCATCCTTTCTGCCCAAGAGGATAACCCACGAACACCCCTTTATGACTGCGACTAGCAAATTTGTCGCCCCGACGGTCCCGGTTATACACATAACACAAACACCCAAAGACACGTAACCGAGAATAATCAGGCAACTTTCCATAGAACATCTCATACGGGGTTTTGTTACCCAAAACACGTGAGGGAGTTCAGTTAATTAAATGAGCAGCCGTAAGAACACAATAGCCCCAAAATTGAAGAGGTAGATGGGCCTGAAATCGCAACGCACGAGCCACATTAAGAATATGTTGATGTTTCCGTTCAACACGGCCATTCTGCTGAGGGGTACCAACACAAGAGGTTTCATGTAAAATACCTTCACGACGAAAATAATCAGTCATACACATAAACTCAGTACCATTGTCACTACGAACCACACGCACCAAAGTATCAAATTGACGCTTAACCATAGCAAAAAAATTCATTAAGATATAGGACACTTCCGTTTTATCACTAAGTAGATAAATCCAAACACCCCGAGATTAATCATCAACAATGGTCAAGAAATAACGAGATCCACAAAAGGTAGGAACTCGATAGGGCCCCCACAAGTCACAATGTACCAAATGAAATATGCCATCACTAACAGTATTACTAAGAGAAAACTTGTCCTTGGTCTGTTTAGCCCGAAAGCAAACATCACACGACTTATTCAAAACAGAAGACGAAGATGTTGATACCTAATTTTGGTCCCGCTTATTACGATATTACATGTGAATATATGTATTAAATAAATATAAATAGCAGGTTCTTTTATATGTTTAATATTGACCGAGTTTCCAGAAGACGAGGTCCGTATTCAAACGCCGTCAGCTCGACCCAGATATCGCGAAAAGCCACTTAGACAGACATGTCAATTGCTGACCAGTCGGAGTACCAGTCAAATTGCCAGTTAATCCAATTAGTTATTATTAGACCCTGCGCGGTCATATTTATTATTGGGCCCTGCGTGGTCATATTTATTATTGGACCCTGCGCGGTCATATTTTATTGTAAAAGTCCATATACGGGCCGGTATTAGCCCAAATATATAGACTAGCTAAGGAGATAAGAGAAAAGGGAGGGCGGTGGCAATAGTACTTATCTCAAATAAAGCCACCGCCTCATAAAAAAGGAGATTATTCATTCTTGAAAAGACACACAATACAATTTCTTGGCTTTTCAGACACTCTCTTGGATTGATTTCCTATATTCCACATCAAAATCAAACCACAACAAAAGCATACAAAACTCATCCCAAAAATCACTACAAATCCCTATAAACTTTATACCCCCTATTCACAAAAGGGGGGTGTACATTTTTGTTGTTACAAAATCATATAACAACAGAAGAATCAATAAAAGACAAATGTGACAAAACACGATCTGATGGATGTACCAACCGTCGATGCCAAAAATCAGAAGAAACCTTTATAACTCGAGAAGACGCAACTGAAACTGTCCCCTGGAAAAAATAGAGTCCCCCTATCTGCTCATCCGCTCCAGTCACCATCATTGAAGTGCAATCCTGAACGACACAGAACTTGTTAGTAAAATGAGCGGTACAACCAGACTTATCCAACAATTGGAACAATGATATCAAACTGCACTGTAAATTGGGGACAAATAAGACATCATGTAAAACAATAGAGGACCCCAAATAAACAGTGCCCAATTGACTGGCTGATGTCAAGGAGCCATCGGGTAACTGAACAGGGCGAGCAGGTATATCACGAACGTCACACAAAAATTCGAAGAAACCTGTCATATGATGAGAGGCACCACACTAATACATCCAATCATATAAACTTCGCTTACCAGACGACTTACTGTCCTGTTTAGCAGAGTTAATTAAATTAACAAGCTGAGTCCATTGTGCATCCGTCAATCCACTAATAACACGATCAGAGGAGCCAAGCCCGGCATTGGAGGAGGTTCCAACCTGCATTGCTGCTGCGGCAACATTTGCTTGGGCAGGAGCACCCCCGCCACGACCGCCGCGGCCGCGCCTACCTCCTCGGCGGCCAGCACCACCACGGGGTACCAGTCCGGATAACCGAGAACCTCGAAACAGCTGGCCGCGAGATGTCAGCTTTTCCCGCAGTTGTAACAGACAGGCTGACGACCTCCATTGCCGTTCTGAACACTGCCGCTGCCGCTGCCAGGTTGATCGGGCTTGGAGCCCGACATCTGTGGTGAGATGCCCGCCGAGAAGGAGGCATTAGAAGGACCAGGACCGTCACCAGTCCGCACACCATGAGCAACATCCTGTCCGCGAAAAGAAGCAGATGGACCTGTGCGGACGGCGAAACCAGCAGCGGCGGAATCGACGGTATCATCGGCGAGAGAGATGGTTCGCATCCTTTCTTCCTGGATGCAAGTGGAATAAACTCGATTTAAAGGCGGGAGCAGTTCCTGGGCCAACAAATTCGAACGAGTAGCGCCATAAAGAGTTGCGTCCAGTCCCTTGAGAAACTGGTGAACTCGGTCACTTTCGTATTTACGATCCCATTCGGCCTTCAAATTGCACTTACAAAGACCACAACGACACATGGGGGGTTCTCATAATCAGCTAATTCTTCCCAAAGTTTGGTGATTTTACCGTAGTACGCTTCAATACTCAAACCCTTCTGCTTACAAGCCGCCAGATCCGATTTGAGTTGTTGAATTCGAGGACCGTTCTTCATCGTAAAACGTTCCTGTAAAGAGCACCATAAATATGCTGCAAGTTCCGGTTCCACCACAGACGAACGAAGCGTGGCATCAATACTGTTCATAAGCCACGACAACAAAAGCGCATTGTTTGCTTGTCAATCTTCAAACAAATCAGAGTTAAGATCTGGCAGCGAGATGGAACCATCCAAAAATCCAAACTTCTTGCGCGCACGAAGAGCGATGCGGATGCTACGGGACCATTCTTCATAATTGATGTCTCCCTTTAATTGAACTTGAGTGATCAAAAGGCCCGGATTGTCGCTTGAAGTGATGTCGTATGGAGAGATAGTTTTTCTGGGAATAGCAGTCGAGCCTGAGCCTGAACCGTCACCGGAGCTGGAACCTTCACCGGACATGGCGATGGCAGAGGAACGAACGAAGAGAAAAAAAAAATATTAACCTGCTCTAGATACCATGACAAATAAGAAAGAGAAGAGGAAGAATGAATTGAGACACGAAAATCTGTCGTGCTTACGGCTTGCGGCTCTGATATATATATAGGGTCAAAATCTTTTTCACCCCATTATATATCTATTCTTTCTTTTTCACACCACCCCGTCAAATTTCTTCTTTTACACCCCAAAATTCACGAAATGCTATGCGATATTACACTCGCATGTCCAAATGAACCAGCGCATATCCAATCGGCCGCATAATTTCTGACTATGCGTAAACATTTCGCATTTTTTAATCGTATATCCACATCAAACGCATAATTTACAAATGTGCGAACATCTTTCGCATTTTTAATAATCGTATATACATATCGAATGCAGCATAATTTACGATGATTATGTGCCTTCTTTTCGCAGGGCTATATGACTGCGAAAATATTTCGCATCTATTTCGCATAGTTTGTTGAATACGCATTTTCTGGTAATTGCATATCCAATTCAATCGCATAATTTACTAATATGCGTAACAATTTCGCATATACCCTCTGGATAATTGACAATTATGTGACATTTTTTCGCTCGCATATTTAAGAATCGCATAACCAAATCGAATAAAGCATATCACGACTATTCAGAATTCATTCGCAGAACTTTCGCATAAGTTGCGCACCTCATTAATTGACTGCTTTTTCACAGGTGAGGATTTGGTCTCTGCATTTATCATGCAGGCAAA